CGAAGCCATGATGCTGGAAGAGTGGTACGACGAACTACGTATGGACCTTCATCCTACGACGATTACAGATGATTATCTCTATTGCGTCCCAACAACTATGCTGCCTAACCAATGCGTTTTGGTTTCAGCATTTGCGGACGAAGATGATATTACATCATCAGATATGCTCGGAGACGAGCCTAAATCATGTGAGTCTTGTCTAGTATCTCTTTGTTCGAACACAAACGACGAGAGCTATTCCCTAGACAGTGATGAATATGGTCCTTACGTTGAACTATGCTTTACATCAGAAATGTCAAAAATAGTGTTGGATCAGACCCAACTTGCACAGCTCGATACCGATATGGTCGCAACGATGAGAGTATATGTATCCAATGCTGCTAAACGTGCTGTGGTTGTCAAAGAAGACGACCTACTGACCAAAGCCGACATAGCAGCACATCCAAAGGAGGTTAGTGAAGCCTTATATACTGAGCTCAAGATCTGGATTGATAACCGATGCTTTGAGATGTACGACTTATCCAAAGCTTCCAACATCATGACATCCAGATATGTATACAAGTGGAAGTTCGTAAAGATGGGCACCGAGAACGTTAAAACCATTCGTCTCAGATTGGTCCTTCGTGGATTTATGGATACTGAGGCCTTTGATGTGGAAACATTCTCGGGAACCGCCCGAAGGCAGTCTCAACGACTCTTGGCAAGTGAAGCGGCATGTCATCCAGAGTGGATCTTAGCATCCATGGATATCGATAAGGCATTCCTAAAAGGTTTGACCTACGAGGAACTTGCCCATGCCACTGGCGAGGAAACTCGCATGGTCTGCTTTACTCTTCCACCAGGAAGCGCTCAGGTACTTCGTACCCTACCCGGCTTCTCATCCTACGACGAAAGTCGACACTGTCTTAGGTGCCTCAAACCAGGAACGGGTACTAAGGACGCCCCAAGAGCGTTCTCTCTCAAACTTCGTACGACCACACGAGCTATAGGACTTTCACCGACTAGTTACGATCCTGAATTTGAATTCAGCCAAGATCTTCTGACTGCAAAACATGTCGATGACATTAATATGACAGGTCTAGAGAAAAATATCGACGACTATGTACAACGTGTCGAAAAGGTTTTTGGCAAATGCAAGCTCAACAAGCACACATATACGAACTGTGCCGTCCGCTACACTAAGAATGATCAGGGAGATGTGATCATGGACCAGGACGAGTATATCAAACAACTACGTCCCATCACACATCCAGAACTTACAGGAGCGGCGGCCGACGCCAAAGCCACGAAACTTATTACCGACATGTTCGTCAGCCTGCGAGGAGCCCTCGCCTATGCCCTTCTTACTCAAATCTGGCTTATGGTATATGTGGTCTCTCTTCAGAAAATTCAAGAGCCCACCAATTTACAAGTCAGACGTTTGAATGCTGTGACGCGAAAGCTGATCAGCAGTCCGAAACGTATCACCTTCCCTCGGATGAAGCCGACGAATGAAGTCGACATCCATAGCGATTCGGGGTATCGGAAGCTTACCGGGGAGGAGGATGACGAGACCAAGGGCTACGGCATCGCGGGGCCAACGTACTACGGCGAGGAAACTCGCCTCAAGGCAAGTCCGTCGTTCACCTCTGTGACGGACTATGCAAATCACACCGATTACAGGTGAGGTCCAGTTATGCTGCGGAGGCACTTGCAGCCGCACATAACCTTGATGAGTGTTACCCTACGCTCATTACTCTCCATGAGCTTAAGGCAGGGGCCTTGACTCCACGACAACTACGAGATATGCGTGAAGTTGGAGGCCTTGCTATCAAAGTCTCTCTGACCATAGACGCTGAGTCCGTCTACAAATCTTTATCAAGCAGGGATCTCAAAATACCCACAGAACGGACTCTGCTTGGACATATCAGTTGGATACGTGAGCTTATGGATATAGGTATAGTACATAACGTGCAATGGTGTGATACTAGGGATATGACCGCAGATGGGCATACAAAGGGAAGCATCGATCGGGAGCTGCTTCTGGAAGTGATGTCAGGCACTCAGTCATTTAAGTATGACGTGAAGCAATTTGTTCCCTTTCGGGGTCCCGAGGACAGAGACAAACCCAAGTCTAATCAATTTTAGTCTGTCCTTGTTGCCCTCGCGGTCCAGTTTGCCAGCACGGGCGCCTACTATAAAGGCGCCCCTTTAGTTGCTCGGAAACGAGCCTCATATTTCACGCCTGGCAACGAGCCGGCTTCATACAACTCAGGCTCTTTGCCTTAATACACATTTGCTTGGTGAGGTATGGCCTAATTTTGGCCTACCTCTAACTAGGCCGATAGCCCTTCATTATTTGAAGGGGCTGTCCTGTATTTGCGTGAAATACTTTGCGAGGAAACTCGCCTTACATTCTGGCGTTTGGCCAGTTTGTACGCACTGTTTTCATTTCTTTGCAAACAGTCGTGCGCGCGAATTTTGCGTGCGACTATGCTCTCCGTCTCCTCCCCTCCCGACTTTAAGGGTAGCTCTTTGGGAGATGTTACAGTATCGGGAGCATAACTCGCGCGCCGCTGCCTTGGGCTCAAGGCACGCGCGCCCTATTTGCCCGGACACCGCGAGTGTTCGCTATGTGCTGGAAAGATCATTACATCGATCTTATCCTATTCTATCCGCCCACCCCTCATACTGTACCTTCACAGCTACAGCAGAGCGATGGACGCTATTTGCCATCCGATGTCCACGGTCAGCGCCTTGGAATCGGATGCTATATGACAGGCTATATGCCCTATTTGAGTTACCAAGCTCACTTTCGACTCGGTGGAGTTCCCCATTGGGCCTCGAAGCGTGTGAGGCGTGAGCCAAAGTGAAGGGGGGGTGACGGGAGGAGGGAGAAAAGGGAGGAGGAGGGGGAGGAGGAGGAGGTGGAGGAGGAGGAGCAGGAGGAGCAGGAGGAGGAGGAGGAGGAGGAGGAGGAGGAGCAGGAGGAGGAGGAGGAGGATGAGGAGGAGGAGAGGAGAGGAGAAGCAGGAGACGCGGGGACAGTCTCTTCAAAACGAGGACCCAACACCACAGGATGGTTGTGAGAAACAGTTTCAACCCCAGCCAGGACCCACCGGGTCGCCACGTCGAGGTCGGGTGTTCTGGCTGGGAGTGGGGGCCTCGACATTTGGCCGCGCCATTTTTTTCAAAGCGTGTGCCCCAGAGGTCTGGACCACTTCCCAAGAGGGCCAGTTTTCTCGTCCCGAGTCGTTTTCTGACGGTCCCCGAGACCCGGCGAGGGCCCACAGAGGCCGAAAACGGTCAAAAGCCCGCCGCTCCAGTTTTTGTTGGGGCATTGGATCTCTGGGGGTGGGTTGTGCTATCCTCACGGCCCGCTTCCCGCTCTTCCCGCCCGCGCGCACGGTTCGTCGGGCCTGCCGCCGAGCCGGGCCCGGGTGGAGGAGGGCGCCCCTTGGGAGGCGGCCCGTGTTGCCGGCGGCCTGCCCCATCGGCCGCCGAGTCCGCGGAGGGCCCTGGGCCGCCAGAGAGCTGGCGATGCCACGCGCGACCATTCGCAGGAGGGACCTCTGGTGCGGACTCGCACCCAGAGATCCGACGCTCCAGAAAAATTGGAGCGACTGGTCTGTGGCCGTGTTCGTCTTCCGGGTGCCCTCGTCGGGCTTCGGGACAGAGGCTCCGCCCTGGGGAAATGGTCCAGGCCTCCAGGGCCCACGCGTCGAACAATTGGAGCGGCCGGATGCCCGAGCTTGGTGCGGGCTCCCAGGCCTGGTCTCCCCAGCATCGGCCTGCGCGCCTGGATGCGGCCCCCGCGCGCCCGCGTCGCTGGAGCCGCGCACGCGCTTGCCCAGGGTCACTCTCGCGCGCAGCCGACCGGCGACGGTCGGGCAGCGGCGGCGGAGCGGCGCGCGGAAGCCCTGCGTCAGATCACGGCGCGGGCGTCCCTCGGGAGAGGCCCCTGCTGCTGGGGCCGCAGAGCCAGCGCGGCGTCGGGCGCAGCGGTGCGGGGAAACCCTGCCTCAGAGCACGGCGCGGGCGGCAGGCGGCGGCGATGCGGAGGGCCCTCGGAGAGGCCGCCCTCCGAGGCCCGGAGGAGGCCCGCCGTGTCCCTGTCGACGCCGCTGCGGCGGCGCGGCGACGCTCGGGAGGCCTTCGGCGGCAGGCCCCGGACTCTGGAGTCCGCCTGCCATTCTTCGCCTCCGGGCCTCCACCTCGCGGCGAAGGTACTCGCGCCGCTTCGCGAGTCCCCAGTCCTGTCCCCCAGGGGGGGGGGGCGCGAAAAGCGCGGAGTTAGTTGCCTTAGAGAGTCCGAGGCGGGGATGCATCCTTCTCCACCGCCCGGGGGATCGGTCTTCGGAGACCTCGGCAGGCGCTGGATGTGAGTATACTCGGCCCCCCAGGCCAACTCGGTGGTGCGACTACTGGCGGTGGTCGCGATGAATCGTGATCTCGAACATGATTGTGACATTCACAGGGGGACAAACATGCGATTCACACTTCAAGCGGTTTGAGATTAACCTGAGCACACAGCACCGCGCCCGAAATTACGCCCGGTTGCAGGGCCATGCTCTGCTGGATGCCACGTGAGATAGCTCTCTGGCGCCTGGGCTCTGGCCGCACGCAGCTGGACGACTGCGAAAGCAGAGCCGTCTAGCGTGGAGTTACCCTTGTTGTCTGTGTAGAAGTCGAGCCCCTCGCGCGGCTCGGGGGACGTGGCACTAGCCGCACACAGCTGGACAACTGCGAAAACACAGCCGTTAAACACCGACTTAGGAGCAGCAGGGTGCCAGGGGCCAGGGGCCGGGAGCCCGGAGCAAGAAGCAGGGAGGAGGGGCCAGGAGACCAGCAGGACGGCGACTTCGACGACGACGGCGACCTCTTCGACGACGGCGACGACGACAGCCACGACCTCGACTCCCCTCGCCGCTGGCCGGCCGCCTCAGTCCGGCTCCGCGCGCGCGCAGGAGAACACGCCCAGCGCCAAGAGGGCGGCCGCGGCGGCCCGCACCGGCGGCCTGATGCCCCCCGAGCTCCTCGAGGCGCGCTGTGCCGCCGCCGGCGGCGGCGTCGGCGGCCGCTCCTCGGCCCGGTGGGCGCGCGCCCGCGGCGCTGGCGGCGCCGACGGCGGCGGCGTGGGCGGTGCCGACGGCGCCAACGGCCACGGCCGGCGGCGAAGGCGACGCCGCCGACGAGGACGACGGAGGTTGTCCGGCCGGCGACGGCGGTGGCTGCGGCGTGTTTCTGGCCTTTTTCCGCGTCCCGGGGAGGAGGTCCAGGGTTTCTGGCCGCCTCCGCGGCCGCCCTCTTCGTCCCCCCTCCCCTTTGGTGCTGACTTGTCGTCTCGCAACCCGACCTACCGCCCGCGCTCAATGATGACCTGCGCCGTGACAAAAAGGCTTTACGCCTCCTGCGACACCAGGCCAGCCAGCCCTTTCGAGTTTGGGCCTTCTGAGGCTTCGCCCTCGCCGTCGCCGCCGTCGTCGTCGTCGCCGCCGTCGTCGCCGTCGTCGTGGGCGTAGTCGCCGTCGTCGTCGCCGTCGTCGTCGTCGCCGCCGTTGTCGTCGTCGTCGTTATCATCGTCGTTGCCGTCGTCGTCGCCGTCGTCGCAGACGTCGCCGTCGTCGTCGACGTCGTCATCGTCGTCGCCGTCGCTGTCGCCGTCGCCGTCGTTGCCGCCGTTGTCGTCGTCGTCGTCGTCGTCGTCGTCGTCGTCGTCGTCATCGCCGTCGCCGTCGCCGTCGCCTTTTTCGTCGCCGTCGCGATCGCTGAGGCCGTCGTCGTCCCCGTCGTCGTCGTCGTCGCCGCCGTCGCTGTCGCCGCCGTTGTCGTTGACGTCATCGGCGTCGTCGTCGCCGTCGTCGTCGTCGCCGTCGTCGTCGTCGCCGCCGCCGTCGCCGTTGCCATCGCCGTCGCCGTCGCCGTCGCCGCCGCCGCCGTCGCCGCCGCCGTCGTCGTTGTCGTCGTCGCCGTCGCCGTCGCCACCGTCGTCGAGTCGTCGTTGCCGCAATTGCCGTCGTCGTCGTCATCACCGTTGCCGTCGCCGTCGCCGTCGCCGTCGCCATCGCAGTCGTCGCCGTCGCCGTCGTCGTCGCCGTCGTCGAGGCCGTCATCGTCGTAGCCACTGTTGTCGTCGTCGTCGTCGTTTTGGTCGTCCCTGTCGCCGTCGCCGTCGCCTTCGCCGTCACCGCCGCCGTCGCCGTCGCCGTCGTAGTCCTCGCCGTCGCCGTTGCCGTCGCCGTCTTCGTCGCCATCGCAGTCGTCGCCGTCGCCGTCGTCGTCGCCGTCGTCGAGGCCGTCGTCGTCGTCGTCGCCGCTGTTGTCGTCGTCGTCGTGGTCGTCGCCGTCGCCGTCACCTTCGCCGTCGCCGTCGCCGTCGCCGCCGTCGTCGTCGTCGCCGTCGTCGTCGCCGCCGTTGTCGTCGTCGTCGCCGCCGCCGTCGTCGTCGTCGTCGTCGTTGTCGTCGCCGTTGTAGTCATCGTCGTGGCCGTCGCCGTCGCTGTCGCCGTCGCCCTCGCCGTCGCCGTCGCCGTCGCCGTCGTCGCTGTCGTCGCCGTCCTCGTCGCCGTCGCCGCAGCCGTCGCCGTCGTGGCCGCCGTTGTCATCATCGTCGCCGTCGCGGTCGCCGTCGCCGCCGCCGCCGCCGTCGTCGCCGTCGTTGCCGTTGACGTCGCCGTCGTTGTCGTCGCCATTGTTGCTGTAACTCGTTCGCGGGGGTCGCAGTTTGATGCGTTTGGTAAATTTCAAGTTGCGAGCCCCGAGAGGGGCACTTCAATTGAACAGATACAACGTGGACCGGGCAGGGGGGATCATCAAGAATTATTTTTCAGAAGTGGGAGCTCGACAACAGCAATCATTTTAAGACTGGTCGCTCTTACTTGCTTGCGTGTCATTCAACACGCATATCCCAAACTCTCGATACCCGGCTTTGTCGTCTTCGATCGTAACCCTTTGGGGGCATTTTTTACCTGCAACGTGTACTTCGTGCAGCCCCTGAGGCAGCGGAAGAAAGGACGGATGGAAGGAAGGGACAAAGGGGAAAGGAGGAATATGGAACACGAGAGAGAGTAGCATAAGGGGAGCTAGCAGCAGAAATCAAGTGGCAGAACCAGACGGGCAGATCGGGTGGATAGGCCCTAACGGACGAGTCGCGAAGGCGGGCCCAGGCGGCCAGGTCGAGCAAGCGGGTTGCTGAAGCGTGCTTCCCGCATGAGGAAATCCCGAGCGATAGCAAGATCTGCAACGGGGCCACGAAGGCCAGCGAGGGGGCCACGAAGGGCTGCAACGGGGCCACGAAGGGCAGCGAGGGGGCCACGAAGGGCTGCAACGGGGCCACGAAGGGCAGCGAGGGGACCACGAAGGGCTGCAACGGGGCCACGAAGGGCTGCAACGGGGCCACGAATGGCAGCGAGATCCCGGTGCCTAAGTAAGCTGTGAGGGAGTCCTAGGCGAGAGCGCGACTCTTGGGCGCCTGAGTGTCGGGAGCGCGGCGCTTGAGTAAATTGCGGGATGCTCTAATTCAAAGGCGCGATTCTTACATGAACTGCAAGCAGGTCTCCAGCGAGAGCGCGACTGCAGAGCGCCGAGAGAGCGATTCTGATGTAAATTGCAAGAAAGTCCCAAGAGAAAGCGCGATTCTTGAGTAAAATGCGAGGAAGTCTCAGGCGGGAGCGGGGGTCCTGGCTAAATTGTGAGGAACTCTCGGGCGGGAGCTGTTGTTGTTGTTGTAACCTGGGGGCCGGGGGCACAGTCTGAGCCCCTTGATTTTCTTTGCTGCAAAACAGGATGCGAGCCCCGCGGGAAGCATTTCATTTGAAAAAGCAATTATTCTTCAGTAGTGAGAGTACAACAACAACAGCAACAATAACCATAACAACGAAACTTACAATAAGAACACCAACGCCATCAACAGCAACTACAGCGGTAACAACAACACTTTCAATAACAATGACCATGACAATGGCAACAACAACAACCAAGACAGCAACAAAGGCAACAACACGAGTTATAGGACGGTTCGCCCTTACACGCGTGCGAGTCAATCAACATGTGTTCCCCGAGCCATGGATATCCGCCCTCTTTCGATTGTACCCCCCTCTAAGGTTTTTGTCCGTCCCTGCCACGCGTGATGGGCGCAGCCTTAAACGGAAGGGGGCCGCTAAGGGCTGCATAGGGGCCAGGAAGGGCAGCGAGAGGGCTACGAAGAGTTTAATGGGGGCCACGAGCGTCAGCGAAGGGGCTACAAAAGGCGACCGCTTGGCCACGAGCGGCATCGATGGGCTCAAAGGAAGGGGCCATGAAAGGCATCGGGGATGCCACGAAGGCAGCGGCGGGGCCTTCAAATCAGATTGCGGTATCGCGAAGGGCGCATCGGAATGGGCGCATATCAGCGAAGGTCGATTGCGGGACTTCGTGGGCGGATCAGGCGGGCGGGCCCTGACGGGGGGTCGAGCGGGCGGGTCGCGAATGCGTGAGTCCTACATAAGTCGCCAAGAAGTCTCGGGCGAGAGCGCAAGCGCGATTCTTGAGTGAACTGCGAGGAAGTTTCAATCGGGAGCGGGGGGGCTCAATAATTAGAGGCGGGAGACGTTGTTGTTGTATTTCGGGGGCCAGGGGCCCAATTTGAGCTTCAGGATCTTGCCGGATACAAAAAACAGCGCGCGAGCCCCATTGAGGGGCATTTCAGTTGAAAATCACTATGCGCGCCAAGACGGGGGATCAACAATCATGTTTCTTCATTATGTAGGGTTTTCTGCCAGCAGCGGTAGAACACGCTCCTTTACCCCCTAAGGGGAGTACGATCGAAGACGAAGAAGGCGGGAATCGAGGGTGTGGGGTAAAAGTGATGAGTAGCACGCGAACAGACAAGAGCAAACAATCTTACAATGATTGTCGTTGTTGCTGCTGCTGCTGCTGGTGAACCGGGGGGGGCCACTGGGGGTTGCCAACCCGTCCCCCGCCCTCTCGAAAACCGCCCGCGAGGGGTCACTACCGGTTCGACCCCCCCCCCTCGAAAACCGGGGGGGTTCACTACCGGTTCGAACCCCCCCCCCTCGCCGCCGGCTGAACAGTGGTGCGGACAGTGGTGTGAACGGTGGTGGTGGGGACAATGGTGTGGGGACAGTGGGACAGTGGTGTGGACAGTGGTGGGGAGGGCGGTGGTGGGGACACTGGTGAGGGGACAGCGGGACAGTTGTGGGGACAGTGGGACAGTGGTGGAGACAGTAGTGATGGGGACAGTGGTGAAAGCGGTGGTGCGGACGGTGGTAGGTACGGTGGTGGTGGGGACAGTGGCGCGGGGACAGTGGGACAGTGGTGCGGACAGTGGTGGGGAGGGTGGTGGTGGGGACAGTGGTGACGGGACAGCGGGACAGTTGGTGAGGACAGTGGGACATTGGTAGGGACGGTGTGGTGGGGACACTGGTGAAAGCGGTGGTGCGGACGGTGGTGGGACAGTAGTACAGTGGGGAGAGTGGTGGGGACAGTGGTGACAGTGGGACAGTGGTGGGGACAGTGGGGACAGCGGGACAGCACAGTGGGACAGCGGCGGGGACAGTGGGGACAGTGGGACAGTGTTGGGGACAGTGGGACAGTGGTGGGGACCGTGGGGGAAGTGGGGTGAGCGGGACCGTGGTGAGACAATGGTGTGGAGAGTGGGGACAGTGAGACACTGGTGGGGGCACTGGTGGGGACAGTGGGGACAATGGTGGGAACAATGGGGACAGTGGGACAGTGGTGGGGACTGGGACAGACAGCAGTGGGGAATGTGGTGCGGACGGTGCTGGGAACCAGGAGTCGGTTGCCAGCGGTGAGCAGGGGGGGAGGGAGGTTCGAACCGGTAGTGACCCCCCCAGTTTTCTGGAGGGGGGGGGGTTCGAACCCGTAGTGCCCCCCCACGGTTTTCTTGAGGGGGAGGGGTTCGACTTTGTAGTGACCCTTCGTGGTTTTCTGGAGGGGGGGGGGTTGTAGGGGGAGGGGTTTGCCGGGGAGAGGGGGGGAAGGTCCAGCAGGGGGGGGGGGGAGGGAATTTTCGGAGGGGGGGGGACCCCGGGTTCCGAAGAGAGGGGGGGAATGTTCCACAGTACAGCGGCGGTGGATCACAGGGGAAGAGAGGACGGACGGAAGAGAAGGACAAAGGGAGAGGGAGGAGGATGGAGCACGAGAAAAATTAGCAGGAAGAGGACTCGGAACAGAAAACACGTGGCAGAACCCGACGGCCAGATCGGGCGGGTAGACTCTGGCGGGCGAGTCGGGAAGGGAGGCCCAGGCGACAAGGTCGAGCAGGCGGGTTGCCGAAGCGTGCGTCTTGCATGAATCGCGAGAAAGTTTTAATCGATAACGCGATTCCAACGTAATTACATGTGAGGAAATCCAAAGCGAGAGCGTGATTCCTGAGTGTCGACGGCGCGGCGTCTGAATGAATTGCGAGGCAGTCCCACGCGAGAGCGCGGTTCCTGCATAGCTCGTGAGAAACGTCCGCGCGAGAGCGCAATGTTTCAATCCACTGTGAGGAAGCATCAGGCGGGAGTCGCTGTTATTGTAACTCGGGGGCCAGGGGCGCAGTTTGACGTTCAAGACTTTCTCTGATAAAAGACAGGTGCGAGCCGTAGGAAGGGCACTCGACTTGAAGAAATACGATGTGCACCGGGCGGGGGTGATCAACAATCATTATTCTTCCAGAAGGGAGAGTGCAACAACAGCACCAATCATCATGTTAACTTTGTTCGCTCTCATTGGTCCGCGTGCCATTCAACACGTATATCCCAAACCCTCGATACCCGCCCTCCTCGTCGCCGATCGGGTACATTTTTCTTGCCTGCACCGTGTATTTCGTGCATCCCTCAAGGCAGTGGGAGAATGGACGGACGGAAGGAAGGGTCGAGGGGCAGGCGGGTTGCCGAAGCGTGCGTCCTGAGTGCATCGCGAGGAACTCTCGAGCGATAGCGCGATTACCAAGTGAACCGTGAGGAAATCCACAACCAGAGCATGATTCCTGAATGTCGGCGGCGCGACGTCTAGAGAAATTGCGAGGGCGTCCCACGCGAGAGCGTGATTCTTGTATGAGTTGTAAGACGCCCCGCGCGAGAGCGCAATTTGGGAATAGGTTGTGAGGAAGTACCTGGCGAGAGCCGCTGTTGCTGTAAATTAGGGCCCGACAAAACAATTTAGTGGAATTGCATTTTCCGAGTTTACAAACCGTACGGCACACGGAATACAGATTCTAATGGAAAAACAATATTAATTGGACAGCCCGATCAACAATACCGAATGTTCATGCATGAGAATTCAACTACAATTTATTCAATCGCTTCGCTCACTCCGCCGGCCCGTATTGCATGATCGCTACTGCTTCGGCGCGGGCTCGGGGCCACTTCGGCGCCGCCGGAAGGAGGAAGATGAGGATGGGGAGGGGGAGGGGAGGAGGAAAAGAGGATGAGAAGGAACGGAGGAGGATGAAGATACATATGAGGAGGAGGAGGAGGAAAAGGGCGGAGGAGGAAGCCTCTCGATGGCATCTCGCGGCGCTCTTGGGGCCAAACAGGGCCGTCGTCCAGACGCTTCTTTGGGAGGCCCTGGGGTCTGTTGAGAGGCCGTTCGGTGGCGCCTGGGAGACATTTTTGAAGCCTTGTAGGGCCTCTTTTGAGCCTCCTTGGAGCCTCCCGGGGTCTCTTGGGGGCCTCTTGGCGGCATCTTGGGCCATCTTGGGGGCCTCTCGGGGCCTCCTGGTGCCCTCTTGGGGCGGAAGGCTGGAGGTTTCGGTTCGTGGTCCCCATCTTGGGCCCCTCTTGGGGCCGTCTTGGGGCTCTCTTGGGCCGTCTTGGGCGTCTCTTGGGCCGTCTCGGGGCCCGTTTGGGCTCTCTGGGGGCCTTCTTGGGGGCATCTTGAACCGTCTTCGTGCGCTCTTGGGGGCCTCTTGGGCCGTCTTGGAGCATCGGAAAGCCGAAAATGCGACGAGGCTAAAATCCTTCCAAAACCATTGTAAAATTCATGATGTTGGCCTCTCGGGGCGCTCTTGTGAGGCCTCTTGGAGGCCACTTGGAGCGTTTTGGCGGCTTCTTGGGCCGTCTTGGGATCATCTTCGGCGTCTTGGAGCGTCCTTTGGGCGTCTCGGGGGCCTCTTGGGCAGTCTTGGGGGCCTCTTGGGGCCCTCTTGGCGCGCTCTGGGGGGCCTGAGAGGCCGTACCCAGGAGGAAAATCATCTCTGAGTAGACCTTCCCAGGCTGCGGTCGGGGTACTTTTCGCCGGGGGACCCCCAGGGGCCGCCCCGCGCGCCCGAACTAGAAGAATTGTTAACCAGTTACCGGAGATCTTAGCACGCCTCTGGCCCGTTGGGCCGGCGGATTGCCCATACATGATACAACAACAACAACAACAACAACAACAACAACAACAACAACAATAATAACAGCAACAACAACAACAACAAGATGTAGACAGCACCTCTTCCGAACATTTCAACATTTCCAGCCTGGATGGCACATCGCCTTCGCAAATGCCCTGCCCGTGCGTTGCTTCTAGGTATCACCACGCCCGACTGCCTTACAACCTTCGGGGGAGGCCCTCCAACTGTTGGGAGAGCCCCCGGGACCAGAGCCTCTGGGACAGCCTCTGGAGCCTCTTGGAGACCCCCAGAGCGTTTCAGAGAAACTTCAGAACCCGTGAGAAACATGAGGTTCGTTGGGAGACGCTTTAAACATGAATGGGCGGATTTCAGGGCATCTTGGGGGTGGCTTCGGGGCAGTTCTTGGAAAAGGTTTGGATCGGAGGGGCATCTGGGTGTCGGGCAAAGAAGAAGAGGAGGAAGCAAGGTGGGGAACAGGAGGAGGAGGAGGAGGAGGAGGAGGAGGAGAAAGGGAAAGGGAAAGGGAAAACGAGGGACGAGGACGGCGGAGTCGCCGCCGCGGGCTCCCGGGCCGCCCCTGGCACGCGGAGCGCTCCAGGGAGGCACCAACGCAGACCTCCGACAGTGCATGCTGCATCCTTGAGGATTGGCACTCGGGATTAGGAAAGCCCCCGGGGCTCTGTGAGTCTTGAACATAGGCGGAGGGAGTATCGAGCGGGGGCGTCGTTGTTTGCGACGGGCCGTCTGCGGCGCCGAGGCGGGGGCGCCGGTCTTGAGTAAGCAACAAACAACTACCGAGCGGTAGCGCCAGCTTTGTGGGAAACCCGGCTTTCGACGGCGAGCAAAAGCCCAGATCCCGAGAAGAAAATGAGGAACTATCGAGCGAAAGCGTTGTTGTTGTTGTTGTTGGTGGTGGTGGTGGTGTTTTTGGTGGTGGTGGTGGTGGTGGTATTATTGGTGTTGTTGTTGTTGGTATTGATGCTGTTGTTGGTGTTGCTGTTGTTGTTGATGTTGTTGTTGGTACTGTCGTTGTTGTTGTTGTTGTTGTTGTTGTTGTTGTTGTTGTTGTTGTTGTTGTTGTTGTTGTTGTTGTTGCTTTTGTTTTTTTGGGGGCGGCTTCGGCGCAACACCGAACCGCCTGAGCGCGAGCGCAATTTTCAAAGGAAATGCAGCCGGCGCCGAGACGAGAGCGCCAGTGCGGAGGTAAGGGGCTCCACACTAGTAGTTCTGTTGCTAGTTCAGGATCAACACAAGCTCAAAAAGTCCCAGGGTCTTGAAACATCGAGCGGGAGCGTCGTTGTTTGCAGTGGGGGCCGTTTGTGGCGACGAGGCGGGGGCGCTGGTCCCGAGTAAAAAGACCACGTCGTATCGAGCGTGAGCGCCATTCTTGTGGGAAGGCTGGCTCTCGGCGGCGAGCAAGAGCCCAGACCCCGAGTAGAAAAAGAGGGAGTATCGAGCGAGAGCGTTGTTATTGGAGGTGTGGTTTCGGCGTGCCCCCGAAACGCATGAACGTGAGCATCGACTTCAGTGGAAATGGTGCCGGCGCCGAGGTGAGAGTTCCAGTGCGGATTCAGGGAGTCCAGCAATATTAATTGTTTAGTACGCATGATTCAACAGCAGTCCGCACCGCGGAACCTCGCTTCAGCCACGCGCCCAAGGACAGTGAATGACCGTTCGACCCCCCCCTTCTCTGATTTATATGTATAGAAATGTATATGAGGGTTGTGTTAAGTTTTCTTCTCAGTTTCTCATTTCGCACTTGGGCTATGTCATCGCAGTCGTGTTATGTTGTTACCGGTTGTTTCCTATTGCACTTTTCGGCGGCGCGCCAACGGGGGAACTGAGGGGGGGCGGGCCTTCTCAGAAGGCTCGGAAGGCTTCGGGCCTTCTCGAGAGTTGTCTTTGCCTTTTCCGAAGACACAGAAAGTTGTTTCAAAGGCCAGAGGGCTTCTGAGGAACCCCGCCCTTCTCACTGCCCTCCTTGGCGCGCCGTCGAGTTCAGTTTTTGGGTCATACCTCGGGTCTCTGGCGGCCGGTCGGGACGATCTGAGCACCCCCCGAAAGCTCTCGGCGAGGCGCAGCCGCTGGAACGCATCCCGAGGCTGGAAAACCGCCAAGCACTCACGTCACCGCTCAGAAACATCGGACCTCGAACCCGAACAGCCGCCGAAGTAAAACTTTAGTACTCGCTATCGCACGTAGTGTTTCTGCCGCGCCCTTCCGGCGCTCCACAGGCTGGGGAGGCCTTCGCCGCGCTGGGTGACGAGGAGGACGACGCGGGCGGGCCCGAGCCGCGGGCGGGTCCTCGTCGTCGCCGTGGTCGTGGCTCTGGTCGTCGTCGACGTCGCGTCGTCGTCGTCAGCATCGTCGGGGCAGGGGGGAGTCGTTACTGTCGTCGTCGTCGTCGTCGTCTTCGCCAGTAGTCGTCATCATGTTGGTGGTGGCAGTCGTCGGTCGTCGGCGTCGTCGTCGTCGTCGTCGTCCTCGTCGTCGTCCTCGTCGTCGTCGTCGTCGTCGTCCTCGTCGTCGTCGTCGTCGTGGTGAGCGTCCTCGTCGTGGCCGTCAGCGACATCATCTTCGTCGGCGGCGTCTGAAAAGGTGCTTAGACCTCCAGCGTCCGGAGAAAATCAGGACGCCCAGCCTTTCTGAGTTGGGGTCGCCAGAGGCCCGTTTCGGGTTTCGGGCGCCCCAGTCCCACAGAGAGCAACCTTTGGCGCGAACAGTTCGCACGATATTTTGGAACGAGATACAGCACCTGGAGCCCCAGCATTGAAGGCCAACAGGACGCCGAAAGTTGCTCCCCGACAGAGGGGGGCTCCGAAGCTCTCGACCCCGCAGTCGTGCGAGCTTCGCGCCGTGGGTCGATTCCCGCCAGGCCCCAGGGCCCCGACGCGGCCACCTCCGCAGGCCCCATTCCATGCAGCCTGGCCTCGGCGTTACCCAAACATACTAATACGATGTGTGCGTCGCCCCCCCCCCCCCAGGGGGGACGCGCGCACCGAGAAGTCTTAATAGTGCATGCGTCGTGGCGGGCGCTCTCTGGCCGTACCGATCGGGAAACGATCTACTGCAAGATGGTTACACTATAGATTCGGTTCGGGCGCTCGCTTCCAAGGAGGACACACAGTACTGGTATGTCCTTGTGCGTCCCGTGGCCAAGCTGCGTTTTGCTCCATGGGCGCCGGAGCTCCGGGCCAGGTCGCGCCCCAGCCGTCCGCGTCGGCGCCCCGGCCTACCGGGACTGCCGCGGCGCGCAGGCGAGCCGGGAGGCCCTGACCCCGCGCGCGCGGGAGCCTCGGGGGACGGAGAGGCGACACCGCCACCACCACCAGGGGGGCCGCGAGGAGTCGGCGGCGAGCGAAGGGGGAAGTGAGAAGGAAAAGGCCTTCTCAGAAGGCGGCGGTGCTTCTCAGAAGCCCTCGCGCCTTCTGAGAGGTTTTCGGTGTCTTCGGGGCAGGCTGAGAGAACTTTTGAGAAGGCCAAGGGACTTCCGAGCCTTCTGGGAAGGCCTTCTCCCTCTTACTTCCCCCCCGGGCTCGCCGCCGAAGGAAGTCCACGAGGCTGCCCCGAGCTGGGGATGGGGGATGCCTCGAGCGAGCGGGGGGGACCACACCACCAGGCACCACCCCCCCCTCTGGCTCCTCCCGCTGGTGGTCCCGGGTGGTGGTGGTGTTGCTCTTCGCTGTCGTGGGCTCCCGGGAGGCGCCCCTGCTGGCGCGGACGCCCGCCGCCCCGCCGTACAGGGACTGCCGCGCCGTGGAGGCAGGCCAGGAGCCTCTGCCCGCGCGCGCGCGGGAGGCGCCCCTGCCGCCGCCAGCGCCAGCGGCGGGCCAGGCAGCCCGACGACGACGACGACGACGACGACGACGACGACGACGACGACGACGACGACGACGACGACGACTCAAACGACGCCGCTGTCGCCGCAGACGCCAGCGGCGGGCCAGGCGGCCGAGGGGGCATGGGGCGGCCGAGATTTCAGAGCAGGCAAAGACCAGAGGTGATGAAGCTCGGGGTATTCCTCTCGGGCATGCTAGATGCGCCTAGCCGAGAGCGTTTTGAGGAGGAAGCGATGACGATGCCGATTCCGCTGCCCGTCCTGGAGAGTTCTCGTCGCCACGGCTGGATTCGCCTCGAAGTTCAGGTCGGAGTGCGCCCTGGGAGAGGTCCAAGGAGTAGCCGTATCGGTGTTTTTGTTTCCCCCCCCCCCCCCGAGTTTGTAAAGTTTTTTCGAGCGAAACTGCGCTGTCCCTGGGCGCGTGTCCGGAGAGGGGTTGGAGAGCGGCGACGTGGTCTCGTTCCCAATGTCCCCCCTTCCCCTTGCCGCCCGGCGGCCCGTCCTGGACCCACCCGCGACCCGCCCACCAACCCGTCCGCGACCCGCCCAGCGACCATGGCCCGTCCCGCGTCCCGCCGGCGCCCAGCCCCACGACCCGCAGGGCACTCCTCCCCGCGACCCGCCACCCATGCCGCGATCCCCGCCATGGATGCTCCCCGCGTCGCCCTCGCGACCGGCTCCACGACCCGCCAGAGATTCTCCCCCCCCCCCCGACGTGTGACGAGCCTCCCGCGACCCGTCGTGTTTCACTGCGCGTGTGTCAGTACGCTGGCGCTCGAGCTTCTCAAGGCTTCTGTTTGCTTTCGGCGACTTGCTCGTGGCCCAGCTAGCCCAAGAAGGCCGGCCCGCTCGGCGGCCCACACGGGAGCCGCCCCAGGTCCCCACCGATCGCGAAGCGCTCCGCCCACCCGAGATCCGCCCCGCGACCCGCCCGCGACCCGCACCGCGCGGCACCCGCGCCCGCCGACGGCCCAGCCGCTCCTACAGGGAAAGACAGCCGGTGGATCGCAAGTGGTCGTATCGTACCGTACTCTCCCCCTCCGACCACGACGTCGTCCTCGGGCTCTGTTTTTGTTGGTTGGTTACGCGCTCTCTCTCTCTCTCTGTCTTTCTCTCTCCTCTCTCTGTCTCTCTCTCTCTCTCTCTCACACTCTCACACTCTCTTTCTCTCTCTCTCTCTCTCTCCCTTTCTCCTTTTCTTTTCCTCTCTCGCTTACCCCTGCCAGTCTGAAACAGTCTGAATCCTGGGGAGGCTTGTCCAAGGAGGTTGTCTGGGGGGGATGTCTGGATTCTTCTGGGGTTGTCCAAGGGGTTGTCCGGGCCGCGTTGTTTTGTCAGCACGTGCGCATCTCATTATAATACATACCATCAAAAGCATGACACAACCAGGGAAGCCCAGTTGGAAATGTCGCCTCTCTTTCCCCCTTTCCCTTGCTTTGGCTCCCGCTCGCACGCCCCCCCTTGCCGCGCTTCCCCAAACAAGTGTGCTGACTGGGGTCCTGCTGCGGTAGAAACTAGTTCGGGCCAAGGGGTCAGCGTTCAGAGACATCCGCCAACATCGGGGTGGCCTGGCGCCAGCGCCAGCGCCGGCGCAGGGGGGGGGTTGAAACCCCCCCCCGCCCCTTGAGCTGCTTCTGGTCATCATCGCTGCGTCCCCGCCGTCGGCGCTGCTGGCGGCCGCCAGCGCCGGCGCCAGCGCCGGCGCCAAGGGGGGGGCTGGTTTTGAACCCCCCGCCCCTTGGGGAGAGGGGGGGGGGTTCGGGAAGGGGGGGTTTGGGGGGAGGTGAATCCCCATGGTTTTGATTGACGGAGCCGAGTGTTGGGGGGGGCGCCCACCCCCCGGTTCGAAACGCGCCGCCGAATGTTCCCAAGGCAAGCGCCTGTGAAACGCGCTCTCTCCTCTTTCTGGATCCCTTCCCGGGGATCTGTCTTTCATCCTGAGCCGCTTTCTGACAGTCCCGAGGCACGGTGGGGGCGCCCAGAAGCCGAAAATTGCGAAAGACCTTCCGTCGCGTTTTCTTCGCGACGCGAGGGGGCTTGGGGAGCAAGGAGCGGCCAAGAGGGAGGTGATGACCAGGGGTGTGTGGATAGCATGGCCGGGGCCATGGGGCCACGAAAACACCGTGGATTTCATGCACCACCACCCTTCTTATTTCAGTACGTCAACTGGTCTCCCCCTCGGGCGCGCACATGCCCACATGCCTCGGGCCATGATTTGGGAACCCCCGAGGTGAGCAGGGCGACCAGTGCTGTACGACCCACAGCGAGTGCAATACAGGATTGCTGCCCCAGTGGTGCAAGTCGTGCCTGCCCAAAGATCATGGCATCTGCCATCATGTTTGTTATCCTCCTACACGTCGGCCGGCCGCTGCCCGGCTCGAGTGTAGAGAAGGATGTGAATCAGCATCCATCCCAGCCATCCCATTCTCCACCGCATCGCCACACACGGCCTGTGCCGCCAATCCGTGGCTCGCCGTGGTATTCGTGACAGTCTGCTTGGAGCAGCGCTCCCGAGTTGGGGTGGGAAGCTCCGCTTGTCTAGGCATCGTCGATGACCAGGCGCACAGTGCTGGAGTCGCACGAGCTGACGCCGCGTTGTCAGACGGTCGGTTGTTCCGAGGAAGTTTGGCAGGTTCATGCGGCGATGGCGCGCTGGTGACTGGCGCGAAGGCGTTCAAGGTTGAATTCTGCAACGCGGAAGCATTCAGGGACACGGTGACGCCGTTGGACCCGAGAGAGTGCAACTTTGAACCATCGGGCCGCGATGGATTCAAGGTTGAACGATCGACGCGGTGTCGAAAAATTGTTGACGCCGCACGAACCTACCGTAGTCGCGAGGCCCCTTGGACATGCCTCTTGGACGGCCCCCTCTTGGACGCCCCCGAGAGAGGCCCCCCCCCCGAGAGGCGCACAACGTGCGCGGGCAGCCGCCCCCTCCGCGGGGGCCGCCGCCGCAAGGGCTGGGCTTGCCGGAGCCCCGCCGTCGGCGGCGGCGTCGTCGGCGTCGGCGTCGGCGTCGTCGTCATCGTCGTCGACGCAGCTGTAGTCGGCGTAGGCGCGTCGTGGTCGTGGTCGTGGTCGTGGTCGTGGTCGTGGTCGTGGTCGTGGTCGGCGTCTTCCGCGTGGGCGGTGGTGTCGTCAGCGTCAGCGCTCGAGGTCGCCGCCGGCGCCGGAGCACACGCGGTCGATCCGATCGCGGCCGCGCGTTCTCATCGTCGTCGTGGTCCTGTCCTCGGGTCGTCCTCGTCCTCGTCCTCGTCGTCGCTCTTCTCCTGGCGGCGGCGCGCCTGGGCGGGACCCGGCCTGCCCAGGCAGAGAAGAGGCCCCTCGGCGGGCAGCTGCCCACGGCGCGGCGCGCGCGCGCAGGCCCAGGCCTGCGAGGCTCAGCTGGCCCTCTCGAGGTAGCACATCATGAGAGCCTTGCATTCCGTATCGTTCAACCGATCCATCTCCCCCTCCCCATCCCCATCTCGAGCCCCACCATCCCACCACCCCAGTTGGGGATATATCCCTCGAAACCCGGAGGGAATAGCATCTGTCCCCATCCAGGGGGGGTAAATAGGCCAGTGGGACCCAGGTCACGCCAGTGGCGATAGGGATCGGCTAAAAAAAGCTCATGTCTCATGTATATCCTCGTAGCCCCGTTTTTAGAGTCTGTTAGTGTGCGCTAGCGTCTGGTAATCGATGGAGAAGTGCACATTTAGTGTCGGATAGCGTCGATTCGCAAGAGCCAGCAAGGTGGCATGGGAGGCTCCCATGAGTTGCCACAGAACACGCTCCAATGTACCCATCAGTCGTTGAAAGTAGGTTTCTGTGGACCCAGAGGTTCCAGTATACATTCTAGGGCGCCATTCTGCTTCAAAGGTCGGGCGGTTTTCCCCGCTCCCTCCTATTCAGAGGTGAGAGGGCGGGCGGAAGCCCAGTCGACTGTCAACACCCTCCTACTTCATCTTCCTGCCCGCTTCTTCCGACTGAATGGTACGCCTCCCCCGACGGAGGTCTCGGGGGTCTCCGGAGATCGCTCGAGGCAGGAGCTCCTTCCCCCCAGAGGGCCCTGGGAGGAGGGCATCCCCAGGCTCCCCAGCGAGAGGCCTCCGGCAGGAAGGGCGCCCCCTCTCGGGGATGGACAGACCTCCCTTTAGTAAAACGTAGTTTAGTGAAAACGACCTCGGGCCCAAACCTGGTGGGCGCAAGCCTTGAAAAATACCGGCCGCGGCGCCCTCCCGAGAACCGAAAACGGACGATTCACTAATCGACGTGTCATCGTTGGGGTTTCTGTCCACCCCCGACCCTCGAAAGCCTCAGCAGGGCCGCCTGCCGCCGCTGCTGCCCGCCCTTCGCCATCCCACGCCTCCCCCGGCCGGGCGGTGGCGCGGCCGGGCGGGGGGGGGGGCAGGGGGGGCCGCCTGTCCCTTGAGTGCGGCGGGGCTTCTCGGAAACCCTCCCGCCTTCTGAGGAGCCTTCTGGGCCTTCTCCGAAGCCGCAGGCGGCTTCTCTGACGAGCGAACAGCACGGAGCCATACCCACAGGGGGACGGAGGGGGCTGTGGGTGCGTGCGCGCTCTGCATCGACCCCGGGGCAGGCCGCCTAGGTTTGTGCGAGGGCAGAGGCGTTTTGGACAGCGACGACGACGACGAGGCCCCGCGGGTAGCTCCAGGGCGCTTTGGGAGCAGGCCTTGGAGGCAGTTGGGAGCCTCCAGGTGGGTCAGCAGCGGTGGGGCAAGGAACCCCAAAAAGGCGATCGTCGCCGCCGTCGCCATGACCGCGGTCGCTGCCGTCGCTATCGTCGACGCTGTCGCCAGCGTCATCGACGTCGTCGTCGATGCCGTCTCGTCGGCGCTGTCGCCTTCGGCGGCGCCGCCGCCTGCTGCCGCAGGAGCAGCCCCCGCTGGCGGCGGGCGCGGCGGCGGCCGCGCCGCCGAGGAAGTCAGGGAAGAACAAGATCTCGCGGTGATGCCCCCGGGGCGTGCGCGAGCGG